AAAATAACTATTTTATTTTAATATCAACAGTAGAGTATCCACTGGGATTTTTTTCCTTCCTTATTCCATTACACAATATCAAACCAGGCAGAGAACTGCAGATGAACTACTGCTCTCCAAGTGCACAAGAGTACTCGTGGTTCATTAGAAATCACCTTGAACGTGAAAAGATGGACATAATCTGCTGGACAAAGAAACTGTGGACTGTGCCAGACATGTCTGTAGGAAAGAGTTCTGCCATCCTGTAAGTCTGAGTAGGTTTGAGCCAAGGAAAGGAACGCCAGAAATACCAAAGCCTATGGAAAAAGCTCAGGACAGGGTTAAGGTAGTGCCATTTTGAAGTTGGATTTTTATCACTTAAACCAAAACTCCAAATTTCAAACCTCCTGCTCTGCAGAAAGTCCTGGCATTTGTCAACAGCTGAAATGTGATTCACTCATCACAAGTAGGATGACATAGAGATACTACAAAATGCAATATTCTCTTCAGAGACTCCATAAAGGCTGTTATGTTTTTATCTAAGCTGAAAAGGCTGTTATGTTTTTATCTAAGCTGAAACAATCACCAAAATTAGCCTACATTTCAAAATAAAAAATGTGATATTCCGTAATAAAAATCAATTCTGTAGGCAATGAGGATTTCTGCTCAATCTTTCAGTATCTTATTGCAAGAACCTATAAGTTGTTCTCCACACATTCTCATAAAAAGAAAAAAAACCAAATAACAAAACCCCCCCAAAAAACCCAAAAATATTCTAGTCTTGTCTCTTCAGGAAGCAAGGCTTGCATGATCATGCATGACTATTCAGTATCTATTCAACATTTCCTACTATGCCAAAATTTCTCATTTGTCGGTCAGTTTCTACTGTACTTGGGAATAAAGGCAGAGTCTCAAAGAAATTAAACTCCTGTTCAGTTCCTAAGTTTTATGAAACTGAGCAGTAGACAGAAATTCAGTGTGCCCTTGGAGAAAAAAGTAATTCAGTGCATCCCCATCTTCTGATGTGTAATTTTCATTGTGGCAATGGTACAGTGAATGGCAACATATGCACTAGAACTTGCCTCATGTGTTTGTATTATACACTACACACAAGTAGCAGAAAAAAAGGCTGAATTAGGAAGAGATTCCACTGTACAATGCCAAGAAGCACTTAATTCTTAAAACATGTCTTCAGATCACTGTCAATTGATCATCATGGAACAAAAAAAAACAAAACCTTTTGTGTTGCTTTGTAAGTGGAGTCCATACAGAACAGGTTAGTTCAACCTAAGAAAAGGAAAAAATGCTTATGGTAAGAAACCAGAATATACTGAGCAACCAGAAACTGCTGGGGCAGTGTGGCAACTGAATGACAATGCCATGAAACCCTTGGGGCTGCCTCCACTGCCTGACTCCAGGTCAGACTCCTGTATTTTGGCTACTACCATGGTATCTGCAGTGCAGCGGTAATTTCCCCTTCAAGAGCCCTCAACACAGAACACTGGAAATACAAGTACTTCTATTCCAATGTGGACATGAAACAGCTCTGCCTAATTCATTCCTTCCTGCCAAATGCCCAAGGGCCAGGTGCCTACCAAACATGAATGGACCACAGGGATGGGACAGAGGTGACCCTGTAAACCCCAGAGCCCCTTGGATAGGAGTGTGGATTTCCAGGACAAAGCCCAGCCAGGCAGGGAGAGGAGCTAACTGCAAAGCTGGCCTACGGTGGCAAAACTCTCTGCGGAGGGAAGAGCAGCACTGGGCAGTGAAGGGTACTGATGGCTCATTTTAATAGGTAGGGCAGGAACTGATTTTGAATTTAATATGGGTGTGCTCAAAGCAGCCTGAAGACCCCCTAGCACAACCCTGCTAATGTGTTCACACCACTTAATACACTCCTGTTACTGAAGCTCAGACTGTGTGTGGAGCTCAGTGCTTCACCTGAGGCTCAGGAGAAATGTGGAACACTGGGTAACAACGAAACTGGCGACCACGTGGGCATCCAAAAATCCTGAAGGCATACAAAATTGTAACGTCAGTAAAAAGCATACAAGACAAATGCCAGAATAACCAATAAGACATTTATTAGGAGATGCCTCCAGTCCCCACATGACAATGGAAGACAGACTATTGTGCTCTGTCAGAAATATCAGATGGCACAGATTCCCTGAAGGAATCTGTAAATAAGCAAGCAGAAGTGAACAAGCATACATGAACAAGCACACCAATAAGCCCTACTTTAAGCACAGGTTGGACTAGATCCTAAGGTTAGTCCCAACCGGAATTATTTTATGATTAGACATTTTATCAACATGTAAAAAGCAAGTCTCCAGAATATGTGTTGCATAACTGTGGATTTAGTGAAACAGAATAAATAGCTTCGAGGTTTCAGCTGCCTCCTCCACCCACCACACCAGTATCATATCCTTTCCTTGGAAAATACGTAATTTTTTTCCTGCTTCTTGGCTTGCAGCATCAGATTTAAAGAGCCAAAGAGGAGAAATGGCACACCCAGAGAGCACAAACCAGGGAGCTGCAGCAGTGCAGAGGAGTGAGAAGGGGGAATTCACATTTTTCTCAAACTGAAGGCCCACACTGGAGGCCCACACGTACTCTGGGACCCAACAGAAAGGCAAATCTCGGGTGATCTGGTGAGAGACACATGATCTACACTTGATAATCAACCCTTCTTCTCCTCCGCTGGTATCAGGACTGCAACTGTGCTTGTTTGAGAGAAAAAGGTACAGAACACAGCCCATCTGAAAACATTAAATTTTTGTACACGAAAACATGAGTAGTTTAAGATTTGGGGTTTTACAGCTATAAGAAGCATGTGGGGTTTTTAAATGTATCTCTCCTTTTGGCTTAGGTGGTTAATACTCATACAAAAGCAGTACAGCAGAAACTGCCATCCTCGTTTCTTGCTTGATTGCTGCGTGACACTTGCTCACCCCACAGTGGCTAAGCTCTCTTTATTTCAACAAAAGACTCTCCAGAGCACAGAAAGTGCTCCTTTTTGGCATGCCATTACTAACCCTCTTTTGAAAAATATTGTAGCACTTATTTGACCCTCATGCAGAAAAATGTTGCTAACCCAATTGATTTTCCTATAAATTCTGTGTTTTTCTTAAACCCTTTGCTGCTGAAACTGGCAGGGGTCAATTTCCCCCTGCTGAGGTTCTCAAAAAGAGGTACCTGCACCAAGGTGACTCTCTCAGTTACATTCAATGCAGGCAGATGAGCACCTCCAGTGAGAAGATTCCTTCACATCAACAGGAAGGCCACGTCTGAGACATCTCCCACCCCAGAATACTGAAGGAAATTACCAGTCCTTTTAATTTGAAAAGAACACTGGAAAGATGAAGCAAGCATCCACAAAATGTGGAATAAATGGTGTCAGAATGAAAAACAAAACTCCCAGATTTTCGCTTAAAAGAGCATGTAGGGAACACATTTCTCTACATCAACAGAAATTATGCTGGAAAACCCTTAGCTACACCCCAAACCCTATCAATGGGCCTACAGGATCCAGTTTATGACAGTAAATACTGTATGAATTAGATGTCCTATCTATTGGTGGGGCATTTTCACTTCTTCAGTGCTCTGGATTGGCAAGATCTGTGTGGCAGAAACAACACGTGGTACAGCTGTGGGTAAGACTGAAAATGGATGAGGAACACTGTACAAACACAAACTAGTGGGTGAGTATCTGGGATGTGAACATGGCAAAAATGCAGGGAAGCAAAGTGTAGAAACCAAAATCAGAGGGTGAAAGCAAATGTCTCTGAGCAGATCATAAACCCCAGGCAAAGGAAGGAAAGACAAAGGATGGATGGGTTGAATCAGAAAGTGGGTAGTGAAAGTGCAAGTGAGGAGCTGCACAGAGCTGAAGGTACTTTCTAGGGGAGGCAGAAGGAGGGCTAAAACAGCCAGCATGAGGCTGAGAGAAGCCAAACACACTCTAGAAAGGCCTTCCAACAGCCAAAGGACAGTGCTCTGGCTCTTGCTACTGCTGTGCCAGCTGGTGGCTACTGGTTGGAGCCTCCAGCAAGCTGCTGCTTCCACCTTCCTTTGTGAAGGCCCTCAATTACTGAGGCTGCATCTCCAGAGAAAGTACCAGATACCACCAGGTGCCCATAAGTCTTTGATGATAAATTCACTTATGCTGCACAAGTTCACATTATCAGGGGAAGATGTGACAAGTGTGTATTTGTATCATTTAAGAATTGCTCTAAGTATCTGCTTCAAGATTTTCCTTATTCCCCCCCCCCCTCCTTTCTTTTAACTGGAATCTATTCAGTGACCTAAATTTTCTATTCCTCATAAACTCTGCTTGGCTTATGCATGAAGGAAAGGGGCCAGAGATGGCCTTGTGCCACTGCTGGTTTGCTGGGGAGTTGCTCAGCTTCCCATGTAAATTGGCCTCGGGCTGCCCTCATTTGGGTTTGGCTACATCCTTCAGCTTTGGCTGCAGAAGCCCCCGAGGGGCCGTTCCACAGCCAGGAATAACTCAGCAGCTGTCCGGCCACCCTTCCTTGCCCCTGGATCACCCCTGCAGACGCAGAACTCATTTCTGAGCCAAATGGTAGCACCACTGGCAGCAGCGGGACGGGGGAGAGTGAAAAACCCAATTAACCCCTTTTTCCCCGGGGATGCACAGACGGGTCGGGCAAAGGTGCAGCGAAGGCTTCCATTTGTGAAGGAAGATCCGGACGCCAGAGCCGGCGGTCCGGAGATCCGGGTCAGCCACATCCATCCCGGGAGACGTTCCGAGGAAGCGCTCGCCGGGCGCAGGTGGGGCGGCGGCGGGCGAGGGGCGCTGGGGAGGCACCGTCCGCCTGTGCCAGCCCCGTCCCTGGCACCGCCGGGGCTCCCGCCCGGCGTCACCCACCCCCACCTCAGCAGTGCCGCGCATCCCGCCCGGCATCCTCGCCCCTTTCCCGCCTCTCTCTCCCGCCTTCCCCGCGCATCCCTCCGCCCCCTCGGCGGCAGCCCCCGCCCGCCTCTCCCCCGCTGCGCAGAGCGCGGCGCCGGCGGGCGATGGAGAGCCAGCGCTGCTTCGCCAACCGCTTCGATGACTACCCGGGCAGCCCCGCGGCGGCGCCGGACAGGGAGGCGGCGGTGCCGCTGGTGACGGCCACCATCGAGCGCATCCTGCGGGAGCTGCCGCCCCTGGGCGGCCCCCGCGGGTGCCCGGGCGGGCTGTACGGCGGCGTGGCCGGCGTGGCCTACATGCTGTACCACGTCGCGCAGTGCCCGCTGTTCGCCCCGTCGAGGGACTCGTACCTGCGGGCCGCCCGCCGCGTCGTGGACGCCTGCCTGCGGTACCAGGAGGGATGCGGCGAGGCCGACGCCGACACCCGCGCCGCGTTCCTGCTGGGCGGCGCCGGGGTGTACGCGGTGGCAGCGCTGGTCTACCGAGCCCTGGGGCTGCCCGAGTTCGCCCGTCCGCTGGGCAAGTTCAGGGAGCTGAGCGAGGTCTGCGCGCCGCTCTCCTTCCTCGAGTGCGGCTCCGACGAGCTCTTCGTGGGCCGCGCCGGGTACCTGTGCGCCGCCCTGGTGCTGAAGCAGCGGCTGGGCATGGAGGTGAGGGGGGCTGGGGGCGGCGGGGCATCCCCGGGCGGCCCGTCGGGGAGCTGGCGGGGGTCCCTCGGAGCAGCTTCCCGCTTTGCTGCCGAGGCGGGACAGTGCCCTCGGTTCTGGCTGGCGGTGGAGGGGGATGAAGCGGGGCCGCGGGTCTCTACAAAATAAGAAGGGAAAAAAAAGAAAAGGCGTCTTTGTCAGCTTGTACTTTGAAGGGCCGCTCCCCCGGGAGGAGAGGGCTTCCTCTAGCAGCTGCTCCTTGCCGAAATTAAAATATGTGTCTTTGGCTGGAGGGAGCGGAGCGGAGTGCACGGGACGAGCGGGATGGGGTCGCGCCTCCGGGCTCTGGAGCGGAGCGCTGCATCCCGGGGCACGCCAAGAGCATCAGCTGTTGGTTGCCAGGTGGTGAATTACTTGGCAGGAGCCACCCTGGGCTTTCAAGAGTATTTCCGGAAGATGAAGCGGGTAAGAAAAGGAGGAGTGCTGGGTATACAGTACTAAGGTGTGCTGTGCTGTAATTTGCAAGCAAGGAACCCGATTTTCAGAGGCGCTTGGTTTTGCTAACCCCAGCATACAGACTTCTGGAAATCTGTGCTTGTATTTTGGTGCTTTTCATGAACGAGAGCCGTTCTTTTAGCTGGAAGCACAAGATGTGGTTATGGTTCAACATGCTATTGGTTTCAGTAGTCGGGACTTTACCCCAGGATATTGTCATTGTCAGTGCTGACAATTCCGGGCTTCCACTGACTAGGGCACAGTAATTATTGCAACCGATTCTGTTTGCTGTGGTGTTTGTTACTAGGACGTCAGTGTGGTATCTGAGCAGGCAGTTGGTAGATTTTTTTTCCTGTCCTCTTGTCGGGTCTAATCTGTGTTTCCTCTGTTAATCACTGATTTGCAAGTTCATATGCTTCTGGCTTTCTTTCCTCCCAGGAGAGGAAGCAACATTTATTTACAGGTAAATAAATGATGTAAAAACAAGTGGCCCTGCCCCATCCAATACCAGTCACTGCAATTGCAGTCCGAGGAAATTCACTTACTGGAGGTCTCAGGAGGCTCAAAGGTATCCAGAAAAGACACGAAGAATGTTAAGTCAGTTAAATGCTTTGATTGCCTTGAACAAGAATTCTTACAGCACTAGGCATTTGAAGTAGCATACATAAAGAGATGTGCTGTTTCTTTGTATGGCATTGTCTGACAATCACAACCATAAACGTGGTTATGTTATTTGTAACCATAACATCACCAAACTTTTCAGTCTGACAGTGTTTTCTGTAAGAGGAAAGTTTTGAAGACACATCACAATCGTATATGCAGCAGTGGCAGCCTGAGGGGATGGTTTCTCATTGAGAAATAAGCCACCCCTGTTAGTTCAATCTGAATTAGAGGAGTGTGTATAGTGCCCATATCAGTGCTCATGATGGTATGGTGACATACTAGCTGACTGAGGTGGCACACTGCACTCTACTGCTTCATTTAATTCTTTTACCTGTTTGTCTTACATCCTTGAGAACAATTGCTGAAGAATTTGGAGAGTAGGTGCAATTACCTCTTACAGGCAGTGTGAGGAAGGGGAAAACTCTCTTCTCTGTGTGCTTGCTGGGTGAAAAATTGTGCTTAACGCAGCTGTAAAGAGTTAAACATCCCCACAGACAGGCAAAGGTGTGCACTTATTGTGGAATGTATTTAGCAGGTGGGTTAACTGCAGTCAGGGGGAGTTATTTTGCCAATAAAACATATATTCTGTGTCTCTCCTTGCTGATGTTTTTGTCAGTAAGCTATGTCCTCCTATAGTATTATTTGTTTTGTCAATACCTTGTAATTTTAAATGTATAGTGCAAGGAATAAATTAAGTATTAATAAAACCAACTTAATTTTTAAATTTTAACAAAAATTAAAACTTTTAATTTTGCTCCTTAATGAGGAAAACTACAGTGATTTCTAGTCTCTGTGTACTCGTACTTGAGCAAAATTTGTGTCCTTTGAATAAATGTTCCCATCCTAATACAGAATTATTTTAGTTAGTACGTTGCCAGATCAGACTGTGTACCTTTTCACAAATGAAGGCAGGGATGCCCAGAGAGAGTGCATGTCATTTATTACCCAAGGTCAAACGGTAAGCCAGGTACATCCCAAAATAGAAGCAATGTCTTGTGATTCGAACCGCTGGAAAATGCTACCTCCTGTAATTTGATTGTGCACAGTCTCACATGGCTCATTGCAGCATGTTTTCTTGTTTCCCACGTTGGGTTTTTTTTTGGTTGTTGTTTTTTTTGGTTGTTGGGTTTTTTTTTTTTTTGAGGACACTGTGCAAACATTTCCAGCACGAAAAGAAATCCATTCCTTACTCTGAAATACAACCGCTGCTGTCTGTATGGTTGGGGTTTTTTTCCCTCTGAAGAAGTCAAGTGGTGACCTATATACAAGGAATCGCTTGCCCTTGAAGAAAGACTTGGGAGCGAATTTTACAGTTTATGTTGTGGGTTTTGTTTCTGTTTATTCCAAGCAGGGAAGGAATGAGAGGGCTTTATTTCAGTAAACACCAGTTTAGCTCAGCCGCTGTGCCCTGATGCTTCAGTTGCTTGCTAAAGAGTGTTGGTGTCTTTAACATGTTCTTCACGAAGTAAATGGACTGTCCTGAAGGATCCAGTCAGTTGGATAACACTGGCCTCATGTGAAGAAGGGATTTACATTCAGCTGGTTTTCAGATTTTCAGGCTAATACAGCATTTTCCCCTGATGAATTAATTGGGATTTTTTGCATGAGTAAGGATTACTTCAACAGTCAAGGCTTAACAGGATTTGACTTTCATGATGCACTGTGCATTAGCAAAGATGTTTGTATTCATGCCTTTTTTTAATTTCCATTGTGTTGCAGTCAGTGCTTCCCAGGCAGAGATGGGTAAAATACTCTTTTGGCAGGAAAAATATGTCCTTTGTATAAGGTGCATGCACTTTACCTGTCCTTACCTGCTGTGTTTTCACCACTCAGGGAAAATTTAGTTTCTGTTCTGTCTTCTGTAGCTATGCCTTCTCCTGATGCTCGTACTGCTGGTTCATTGTGTGTTCTTGGGGAAATCTGTCAGTCCGGCTTTTAATTCTCTTCACCCAGTCTCTATTTACTTGTGCAAACTGTAGTAAGACATCATCAAAATGATGTTCCCATCCCTCTATTCAAATGGTATTTTATCCTTGGTTTTTCTCAGGGATGTTTCTGTCCCATTTCGTGGCTGATGGAGCATGGTGTGCCTCGGTAGTTGCGCTTCCTTCTGGCGATGTAACTGTCAGATGACAGAGGGAAAGGTACAGAAGTTCAAGTGGCTTCTTGCATTACCATCTGCCAAGATATTACTGCCTTTTAGTACAGCTTGGGTTATCTTTTAATAACTGCCTGTATGGATGGGCTTGACTGACTTCCACTGGCTCGGGGCTGCAGCAGCAAAGACATCAATGGATTGCAGTGTGCCCTGTGGGAGACAGGGCAGCATTTTGAGTGGCTGCCTGGTGCTGTGGTTTCATTGGAGACCATGGTTTTGAAAGACACTGGGGCACTGTAAGAGACCCCTACCTGCAGTTGCAGTGGTGACAAGCTGAACCAGCACACTGTGCCACCAATGTGGCCAAACCTGTTCCCTCAGGGGCTGAGAACACTGGGCTGAGTCTTGAGAATCTCCAGCAGAGACTTTAAGCTCTTCCATGCCATGATGTGGTTAAGCTTTCTGTCTCTGTGCCAGAGGGGCATCTCTGTTTCCTTCTCCATAAAATGCAATGTCACAATTTAGTGTGTGTTTCCAAGGGTGTTGTCCTGTCACAGGGTGGACACAAGCCTGATGTTATTCTGTCAGGGCATGTCCTGAAAGGGCAACGATCTTTCTAACAGGACCTTCTAAAAACCATACTTACCCTTGCTGCTGTGGATAACCAGAGCCTCTTTTGGACCTCACAAGGTTGCAAATCAAGCTGAGCCTACTTCACCTGGTACATGGAAAACAGAAATAGCACTGCTGTGCAGTCTGGTATCTGGGTGCCAGACCAAGGGATGTGTCAGGCAGGACTGGCTTTAAAAGGCACTAGAACAGATGGATGTACAGTGTGTGGGACCTGAGAGGCCCAGCCAGTGTGTATTTCATAATACTCTGTGAGAGAAGATATAAATGAATGAAAATTATTTTCTTTCAGCCCCTTAGACAATTCTAGATGATGTAACTTGTTCCTTAGAGTTTTCCCTCCAGATAGTCAGCTAGTTTTTAAAGACTATTGTAGGTTACTTTGCTCCACTTTCTTTTTTGTTTTACAATCTCTTAGGAAAAAAAAATGGAAAGTATGAGAGGAAAGAGCTTCCTGAATCCTGCCTAGAACATGTTCATTTGCAGCTCTTTAAAGGAAATGTATTAATGCTGAACACAGTATTTATGAAAGACACTCAGTGGACTGATCTTAGCAAGGGAGATCTGCTAAGCACCCACAGAATGGGTGGATCTGCAAGTGCTGTAGGACAGAATCCCCATGTCAGGCTTTTAATCTCCACCTGCACCTAAAAGGGAAGGATTGTCCTTTGAGGTGAGATTTCATTTCTCCTCTGCGGCCATTGAAGTCCTTTCTCTCTGTGGAAGAATTTGCCAGTTTATCTGAAGCGTTGTGGTGTTTGAAATGTCAAACATCATGGTGCTAGCTGGAGCTGTGCTGATTTCATTATTTCATTTTACACAGGCCACTACACAGCCATGATGTCTTTTTTTTTGCCAGAGGATTAAAATGAGTTAACAGTAAAGATAAGAAGCTTTTGATCCTGGCCTGCCTCTTGAACATACAGTCTCCTAGCCATGGTTTCCACAGAGGGGCTAGATTTTGCATTAATTTGCTTAAATTGGTGATTTTAAACCTGGAGTTCAGTATTGGAGTTTTCTAAAGTAAACAGGGAAACAAAGCTAGTTATTTGCATTTGGATATTTTTCTTTTTTAAGAAGTCATTCTGAAACAATTTGGATCTACCTTTCAGAATTT